TTGTCCCTTCTTTATCCCATGAAGTCCCTCTCCATCTACGGCAATGCTTGTTAGCAATCAAAGAAAATAATTTGAGAAATAATCTATTGAGATTTAAATATAAAATGAAATACTTATTTTACAAAATTATTTTCCAATTGATTAAATTTTTTAGGATAAATATCCTTGGGTTTGAACTGAGTGACTTCCCAATTACACATTGCCACTATATTAGGGCCTTATAGCCCGTTTATTAAATTAACCTTTAAAACTTCCTCATTATGTAACCCTTGGTTATTAAATAAGAGTGGGAATTTCTTACCACATAACTATACCTTTGGTTATTAAATAAAAGGACTACTTCTCCAATATAAATCCTTTAAGGCTTCTTTCACTTTTTGTTTTGAATTTATTTTCAAGATATTTGTCCATCTCTTGATGCTCATCCAAATGAATCAAGTAGTTTTGATAGTATATATAAGGTATGCAAAACAGTGTCTAATATATAAAAATTAGGTGCCAACTCAGACTTGATTTTGAATTTGGTTTCAAACTCAGTCTTAAACTCTATCTTGAACTCAAACTTGATCTTAAGCTTGGTCTCAACACTACATGTTATAATATTTGTCATGTGTTAATTATTTTTATATCTTTTTTTAGAAACTTATTTATTGATTGCTTTGTGCTCATTCCTTAAACACTTTTTTGGGAGTTCCATGTTACATTCATTGGACTTCAGCTTTAATGGCATTCTTTCGGCTTTAATTTGAGATTTAAGAATTTATATTTTACATTAATATAACTTTGCCAAATTTATCAATATACCTTTCATGACTAGCCATTGTAGTGGAGCATGTCTTAACACCTTAAGATCATGCAATAGATCCCAATAGTCATAAATATTATCCATAAAACCAAAATGTTTGAATAGTTATGTTGTCTAGCCAAATTTTATATCTTATTACACTTAGTGTCATTATATGTTTTGGAATTGACTTTTTGTAATATTTGTATTCCACTTTAAACCATCTTATGCATATGTTTATCTTTCCTAACATATTATAAAGCCCAAAATGGGTCAATTTTCCCATCCATAATGTTCATTATTCCAAAGTCTATAATTCCGATATTGTCAAAGTTTAAATTCTTTCTAGATGAGTAGTCTTGGACTGAAATATTGATATGCATAGTGTTAGGTTTATATGCATCATTATTCCCAATTATCACTTGCTTTTTAGAAATTATTTTTTGATTTCCATTATATGTACTCAAATTTAATATAACACCAATTTACCAAGCTTGTGTGTTGAAGTTCAACATATTAACCAATTGTTTCTTTATATTGTCTAGTGTATCACTTTTTTAGTATAGAGTTCTTGCAAGTTTGGTTTTAAACCAACATTCTTAAAATTGTATATAGTGATGC